GTGACAAGAGTGTTATGTGACAAGAGTGTTATGTGACAAGAGCGTTGCGTGACAAGAGTGTTATGTGACAAGAGTGTTGTGACAATAGTGTTATGTGACAAGAGTGTTATGTGACAAGAGTGTTATGTGACAAGAGCGTTGCGTGACAAGAGTGTTATGTGACAAGAGTGTTGCGTAACAAGAGTGTTATGTGACAAGAGTGTTACGTGAGTTGCACGAGTGTTATGCAGGCTACACAAGTGTTCTATTGGAGTATCACAACTGATATAAATGCTGCAAAATTACTATACAGGCTACACAATAGTAATACAGTGTACGCGAGTATTGTTATACAGCTTACACAAGTGCAATACAAGTAGCGGGAGTGTTATGCCAGCGTTGAAGTATTTGTGTATTCCGTGACAATGATTACTGAAGATTCGGCGTCGATCGATCAACATTTGACGTCGATTAATGCAGATTCGCTAAAACTACTTAAGATTCGACTTCGATAGATGCAGATTATTCGATTCAACAAATTATCAGGTGCAGAAACTTCGACGATCTTCCCTGAATTGGCATAGAAAGTGCCTCAATAATCGTCGTTGCGCCCCGCGACATTGCCCTCTCCGTTGCCCACTCCAAATGGGGGTTTGTCTATGTCGATCGAGCAAGAATTTGCATTAATTTCTTCATCGATCCGCCTTAATCTTCATCGATCGATCAAGACCTGATTGACTGGGAATGGAATAGAAAGTTAAAGAGAAAGAGGAATGGAAAGCTATGGAGGAAATAGAATAGAAAGATAAAAATAAAGAGGAATGGAAAGTTAAAGAGGAAATAGATTAGAAAGTTAAAAACAAGAGGAACGAAACGTTAAAGAGAAAGAGGAATGGGAAGCTAAGGAGGAAATAGAATATAAAGCTAAAAAGAAATGAAAAGTTAAGAAGTAAAGTGAGCGGGGAAAGTACAAGATGAAGAGGAATGGAAAGTCAAGGAGTAAAGTGGGCGGTAAAGTAGAAGATGAAGAGGAATGGCAAGTTAAGGAGTAAAGTGAGCGGGAAAGTAAAAGGTGAAGTGAATGTACCTCTGGAATGGCTGGCGCTTGACGTAGTTCTCCCTGACGTAGTCCTGCACCTGCTTCTGGGTCCGCCCGCTGTACCTGCAAGACCAGTACCATTACGGGGGTACCGTGGTGACGAGGGTACCACGGCAACGGTACCACGGTAACGGGGATACCACGGCAACAAGGGTACCACGGCAACAAGGTCACAATCAAGTGAAGAATAAAATGTATCAGCTTTTCTCTTAAATTATTGGGAGTTTTAGGGTGAAGTGAGCCGCTGGTTCTCTCCCCACCTGAAGGAGCCCCTGGTTCTCTCCCCACCTGAAGGACGAGCCCCTGGTTCTCTCCCCACCTGCAGGAGCCCCTGGTTCTCTCCCCACCTGAAGGAGCCCCTGGTTCTCTCCCCCACCTGAAGGAGCCCCTGGTTCTCTCCCCACCTGAAGGAGCCCCTGGTTCTCTCCCCACCTGAAGGCTGTCTCTTATACACATCTAGATGTGTATAAGAGACAGCGTTAGCACTCATCAGGACACAAAGACAACGGTCGTCTTTGGCTGTTATAACAGCCCTGCCCGTTAGCACTCATCAGGACACAAAGACAGCGGTCGTCTTTGTCTGTTATAACAGCCCTGCCCGTTAGCACTCATCAGGACACAAAGACAACGGTCGTCTTTGGCTGTTATAACAGCCCTGCCCGTTAGCACTCATCAGGACACAAAGACAACGGTCGTCTTTGGCTGTTATAACAGCCCTGCCCGATAGCACTCATCAGGGCACAAAGACAACGGTCGTCTTTATCTTTTATAACAGCCATCATGACATAACAGCGACATTAATCTCTAGCTGTTGTAACAGCAAATCAAGTATTAAATAAAAGCTAACCGAGGGAAGCAGGCAACCCTCGCTAGCAAGAGTGAGGGAAGAGAGTAACGCGATCTACTAGAAAGTTCAACGAACTTCTAAGTTCATTATAAGTTAGAGAAAATTATCTGGTGAAATTAATAACATTTCACATATGATGAGAATTTCAAGCACATTTAGCAAGTTAATGAGAAGTTACAAGAAAGTTAGGTAAGCCGAAGGAAAGTGACTAAGTTACAAGAAAGTTAGGTAAGTTAAAGGAAAGTGACTAAGTTACAAGAAAGTTAGGCAAGTTAAAGGAAAGTGAATAAGTTACAATAAACTTCGGTAAGGTAAAGGAAAGTGACCAAGTTATAAGGGAAATAAGTATTTAGCAACAAAGTTAGACCAGTTAATATGCTGTAGAAAAAGCTACCTTACTAGAATGTTAACAAATTGAAGAAAAATTACAAGTTACGGGAAAGTAACTAGGTTACAAAGAAGTAAGGCAACATACAAGAAAGAAAGTCACATAGAAACTGGGAACTATTTAAGTTATAGGAAAGTAACAAAGTTAAAGAAAAGTTAGTAAATTATATAGGAAAGTTACCAAGTTACAGAAAACAAAGTATACAGGAGAGTTACAAAGTTAAAAGAAGAAACTAAGTTACAGACGAGTTACAAAGCTGAAAAAAGTAATTAAGTTACAGACGAGTTTCAAAGCTAAAAAAGTAACTAAGGTATGGGAAAGTTACAGCAAAGTTACAGTAAAGTTACAGGAAAGTTTCAGGACAATTACAGGAAAGTTACAGGAAAGCTACAGTAAAGTTACAAGAAAGTTTCAGGGCAATTGCAGGAAAGTTACAGGAAAGTTACAGGAAAGCTACAGTAAAGTTACAGTAAAGTTACAGTAAAGTTACAGGAAAGTTACAGCAAAGTTACAGTAAAGTTACAGGAAAGTTACAGCAAAGTTACAGGAAAGTTACGGGAAACCTACAGGAAAGTTACAGGAAAGCTACAGTTACAGCAAAGTTACAGGAAAGTTACAGGAAAGTTACAGTAAAGTTACAGAAAAGTCAAAGTAAAGTTACCGGAAATTTACAGGAAAGTTACAGGAAAGTTACAGGAAAGTAACAGTAAAGTTACAGGAAAGTTACAGTAAAGCTACAGTGAAGTTACAGTAAAGTTACAGTAAAGTTGCAGTAAAGTTACAGTAAAGTTACACGAAAGTTACAGGAAAGTTACAGTAAAGTTACAGTAAAGTTACAGTAAAGTTACAGGAAAGTTACAGGAAAGCACACACCTCAGGCAAGTGCCCCCCATACGCAAGCTGTGGGGGAGACAGGGGGAGGGGGGTTAGCGCCCCACACAAGTGTATGGGTCAAGTCTATTGCAAATTATACATATACACGCGGTATACACTGTATACAAACGAATCAACTCGAATAATACACACATATATCAAATCAACTCATATATACAACACAGAGTATATTAACATGGGCTAGAAACATACAATACAATCATGTACTAGTGACGTATTAGTGATACAAGAGTAACGCACGAGTAATACGTTAGTACAAGTAATGCGTTATTGTACGTAGGTAACAAATTAGTACTATTAAAGTAACGCTCTAGTAATACGTTATAGCTCTAGGAATGCGTTATAATTTGTTGGTAATTAATGCAATAGTCATACATAAGTAAGGCTCTAATAATACGTTATAGCTCAATAATGCGTTATAATTCATTGGTAATTAATGCAATAGTCATACATAAGTAACGCTCTAATAATACGTTATTATACGCAGGTAACGCATTAGTAATGTCTTAGTAACGCACTAGCAACGCGTTATTTAAGATTACCTCGCCCTGTGTTTCCGCATCCGCAGCGCCGCAAAGAGAGAGAAATGAATTACATCGTTAGAAGATATACGGTGTACTGCAGTACATTGTACAGCAGTACATTGTACAGCAGTACATTGTACAGCAGTACATAGTACGGCAGTACATTGTACAGCAGTACATTGTACGGCAGTACATTGTAAGGCAGTACATTGTACAGCAGTACATTGTACAGCAGTACATTGTACAGCAGTACATTGTACGGCAGTACATTGTACGGCAGTACATTGTACGGCAGTAACCCAGTTCATAGTACAGCAGTACCTATAGTAGTATAACAATACATATCGCTAGACGTACCAGTACATAACCGGTTAGTACAGCAGTACAAGGGATTTACAACGGCTTCCACCTTAGCTTTAGTAATATAAATATGCTTTTATTCCAGTCCGCGTGTACAAAATAGAATACGGACAAAGTCGTAAATGAGAGGAATGCTGCACTCACACACCCCTCACATGAGAGGAATGCTGCACTCACACATCCCTCACATAAGAGGAATCACTCACACATCCCTCACATACGAGGAATTACTCACATATCCCTCAGGATGAAGCTTTATGAGGAAGCGCCGAACCTGTTAACCCTCGTGGTCCTGGGGGATATAATATTAACCTGTTAACCCCTCGTGGTCCTGCGGGACGTAATGGTAAATTGACCTGTTAAGGGGAGCGTCTGGCCACTTTTTTTTCTCGGCTGTTTACAGATGGATCACTTTGAAACTTGGTACAACAATGTAAAACCGATTGGAAAATTGGGAAAATGCCAATATAAATCGATATTTTAATTGCGAATCGAATGGTATATCTCCCATTGCTGTAGCTTCAAAACCCTAGAAGGAGATAGGTTTGCCGTGACAATAAGTTAACTTTTCAGGAGAGCGAGACAAAGTCCCGCGCGCATCGCAATAGGCACTCAATATAGCAAGGATACAAAACTAAACGTTACTGGAGCTTGATTCCAGTCAAGGATGGTGGGAGCGACTGCCTGCACACCAAACCGTACGACGTCAAGCGGGTAACTGTGCTGCAACTGAAGACACTATATATAGTGCCCGGCAGCTAATTTCCCCCTATCTTATTTGTTAAAGAACTCCCCCCACCCCCCACCCTTGCGAGATCTGTTGCGAACGCATAAATCAACGCACAGAGATGGGTTTGGTACCGTTGGATAGGCCAGAATGTTAGCTGTAAGCTGAAAATAAAAACTGGAAAAGCCAAAATCCAAAAATTTTGGCCAGACGCTCCCCTTAACCCCGTCGTGGTTCTGGCGGGACATAAGATTAACCTTTTATTGACCTTTTTACAACACTTCTCTTTAACTTTACTTCTTGTTGTTTGTTTGTTTGTCTGCCACAAATCTTGTAATTGAAATTTAACACACTTCTACCTGTCCAATCGATCTGAAATTTTGCACACTTGCATAAAGTTGAAGACAATGCATGAATCAATTGACAGAATAAATAATTGCGAAAAAAAATTTATATAGGTATTAAACAAATTTGAAAATTTTTTTTAATTTTCAAAAATAAAATGAGAAATTCATTGTACATCATTAACATTGGAGACACTGGATTCTTTAGAAGTGTTGTCTTTGAAAAGTAATTTTTAAAAGTATATTTTACGGTTAATTTCCGTGGACTGCTGTAACACGAGCGACCCCATGTGGGTCGCCGCCAGGTTAACATCAACGCCCTGAAGGTCCATAGCAACACCAACCTTTTATTACCGTTAAATTAAACTTTTTACTTGATCTTTAAATAGCATTCTTAACCTTTCATTAACTTTTAAGAGTAATATTTCATATAATACAACAGTAGCTGACCTTGGCTAGGTGCACCTTGATGCCGTACATGTCGCAGCGTCGTGCCAGGTTAACATCAACGCTTTGAAGGTCCATAGCAAATCAACCTTCCATTAACCTTAAATGAAACTTTTTACATGAACCTTTCTTTAACTTTTAAGAGTAATATTTTTATATAATACAGCAGTCGCTGACCTTGGCTAGGTGCACCTTGATGCCGTACATGTCGCAGCGTCGTGCGGTCTCCAGCAGGTTGAGGTCCGCGGCCCCTGGCGTCATGCCGCTGCAGTACAAGGCATAACATTAACCTCAGCCTTCAGGTTAATTTTTACTTTTAATTTTAACATAAATTTAATGTTAATTTATTGGACACAAAGACAGCGGTGGTCTTTGCCTGTTATAACAGCCCTGCCCGTTATAATTATTAATTAATTTAATAATTATTATTTAAAAAAAATAAATAATAATTCATTTATTATTAACTATGAAATACCCGACTAACTTGACGGAAAATTTTACTTATTATTATTGACGTGAATACTTAATGAATATTGAGCAATTTCATTTGCCGATGCAATAAATACTTTCTATAAAACAAAGAACATCGGAGCAAAGAGTAAAACCATTGCCAACCATCGAATTATGATGAGCTACTTAATGATGGTTAGTGATGCCAATTTTTTTATGGTTGGCGATGCCAATTGCAACACTGTGAGGTTATGAGCACCTCAGTGGGGATATGAGCAACACTGTGAGGTTATGAGCAACACTGTGGGGATATGAGCAACACTGTGAGGTTATGAGCAACACTGTGATGTTATGAGCACCTCTGTGAGGTTATGAGCAACACTGTGAGGTTATGAGCAACACTGTGAGGTTATGAGCACCACTGTGAGGTACTCACACGTGTTTCTTGTGGTTGTCCATGATCTTCCTCTCGAGGTGGTCGTCTTGTGAGGGCACGAACTTGTAGAGGGAGAGGTAGCGGTGGTCGGGGTAGTCTTCTTCTACGTAGTCACCGCACTCCGCTGCGCACCAATTGATACGCAGTCTTAATTATGGGCGATTGATACGCAGGCTTAATGATGGGTGATTGATACGCAGTCATAATGATGGGTGGTTGATACGCAGTCTTAGTGATGGGTGATTAAAATGCAGTAATGCTGGTAACGTGATAGATACGTAGCGATACTAATGGATAATTTGATACACAACGAAAGTGGAAGAGTAATGCACTGTGCCGGTGTACTTAATGCACATAATGAGGGGACAAAGTGATTAATGAGCCTTGATTAAGAAGAGATTGTCAGCTTAGGAGATACCTAATTAAAATTTAGAGCCGTCACCGGCCAAGATCTTAGCCCATACAGCGGCGTTTTATGAGGACAGAGCCGTCAGTAAATACGTGGCCATTTATTATTAAAACAGCGCTGCGCCGGCGCTGATTTAGGGACGGACAGGGCCGGGAAAACTGCGCGGCGCCGGCGCTGATTTAGGGACGGACAGGGCCGGGAAAACTGCGCGGCGCTGCGTGAACGAATTGCCCGGCAGAGAGAGAAGATGAAGACTTGGAAAAAAAGGAAGCTGACTTCTTTCTTTATTCTTTAATTATAGTAACAAAATCAGTTATTTGACTACATTACTAGCGCTAGTTTTTATTAACCACACCATCACACCTTGCACAATATAGGACGCTAGCAGGGCGGCGGTGTTGGTGTTGCACACGAGCTGGCCGTGCGCGAGGTCTCGCTTGATCTGCAGGGCGACGAGGTAGCGCGTGTACTCCTCCTCCAGCTGCCCGGGGTCCGGCGTGTAGAACTTCACGCAGAACCTTAGAACTGGCTCCACCTGACTCAGGCATACCTGTGGGGGACAGGGGTCAGAACCTCAGAACTGGCTCCACCTGACTCAGGCATACCTGTGGGGGACAGGGGTCAGAACCTCAGAACTGGCTCCACCTGACTCAGGCATACCTGTGGGGGACAGGGGTCAGAACCTCAGAACTGGCTCCACCTGACTCAGGCATACCTGTGGGGGACAGGGGTCAGAACCTCAGAACTGGCTCCACCTGACTCAGGCATACCTGTGGGGGACAGGGGTCAGAACCTCAGAACTGGCTCCACCTGACTCAGGCATACCTGTGGGGGACAGGGGTCAGAACCTCAGAACTGGCTCCACCTGACTCAGGCATACCTGTGGGGGACAGGGGTCAGAACCTCAGAACTGGCTCCACCTGACTCAGGCATACCTGTGGGGGACAGGGGTCAGAACCTCAGAACTGGCTCCACCTGACTCAGGCATACCTGTGGGGGACAGGGGNAGCAGGAGCAACAGCTGAGTCGCCCTAACGAGACTAGCAGACGACAGCAGACAGGGAGGACGGGTGAGGGTAAGAGAGGGGAAATGGAGGGAAGGAAGATAAAGAGAGGAGACTTGGTGGGAATAGAAAGATGTGGAAAGTGGAGGGGAAAGAGGGGAAGTGGAGGGAAGAAAAAAGAGAGGGGAAGTGGAGGGAGGGAAGAGAAATAAGGAGTAAGTGGAGCGAAGAGAGAGGAAGTGAAGGGAATAGAAAGGGAGGAGGAATAAGTGGAAGGAAGAGAAAGAGGGGGAAAGTGGAGGGAAAATAGGGGAAGTTGAGGGAGGAAAAAGAGAGGGGACCTGGGCGAATAGAAAGATGAGGGAAGTGGAGGGAAGACCAAAAGAGTGAAGCAAGGAAGGCGGAGATTGATGGGTATAAAAAGATTTCTATATATCCATTATCACTTCAAGCGGTGGTCTTAACATCGCTATTTTTATTCATAATAAAAATGATAAAGACTTACGTGCTGTTAATATACCGTATGGGATAAAAACAAACAATAAGTCTAGTTCAGAATAAATAGCCTGCATGATTTATATTGTACAAATTGTGACGCACTTTCTTCCAGAGCAGGCGTAGCATTGATACGAGCAAAACTGGGTCAAGATGACCCACACAAGGGCAGACAGTGCATCGCTATTTGGACAAAGTCCTCTAATTTCTCTGAGTGCAGGTTAGGGAGAGACAGGGCAGACCCAACACGGTGAGATAGACCCGCATATATGGGACTGCAGACCTTACCGTCACAGACCAACTAATGTGGACTGACAGACACCCATATATGCGCTACACACCTACACAACACACGCACTACACGCACACACAACACACGCACACAACACGCACACACTATACCCACACAGCACACACTACACGCACACTATACCCACACAGCACGCACTACACGCACACACAATACCCACACAGCACGCACTACACGCACACTATACCCACATACGCTGCACACCCACACACAATACGCACACACTACACCCACATATACACTGCACACTCACACACAACACACGCACTACACATACACTACACTACACGTACACACACTACATCCACATATACACAGCACACTAACAAGCTCACATTCCTCAACGATGCAAGCAGATTCAAGTACTTGTTTTCATCAAAATATTTTATTCTATTCTATCTAGTTATTTTGAACTGAGGATAGCGCTGGTCTCCGAAACCTTTTCAATGACTTATGAGACATATGAGATGAGTACCTGTTATCTCTTAAATGAATTCATTTTCCTTACCGGTACCCTTTATATTTAATTGAATTCACGAGAATTCAATTCTAAACGAGAATTCTAAAGACAAAAATTGTTTGGTTATTTGATAGTGTTTGGGGTAAATAAATGCGTATAATTGCAACTCTGAGGGAAGAATGGAGAAATTTCTTCTCACCTAACGGAATTTATATTTTCGTGGGGTTTGTTCCAGGGCTCTGCACACCCACGTATGCACTTCACACCAGTAAACAAACTAAACGCACACACACACATATTGTGCACCAATATATGCACTGCACATGCACACAAACGTAAATTATCAAAAATACTTAATAGTTTGTAAATCAGTCAGCTAATCATCGATGGTTTTTTAATCTAAGTCCACAGATCACAGACAAGAAACCGTCTGCTACGAGTACATAAGGATCTCTTTCCGTGGCAGGGCCGAGGCTGTTCAACGTCCTACCTTAAGGGGTCTAAGAGAGGGGGAGTTCACCCTGGAGACCTTCAAGAGACGACTAGACGTGTTCCTGGGCACAATCCCAGATCGACCTCCCCTGCAACACTACCAGCGGCGAGAAGCAAGCAACAGCATCGTGCATCAGGTGGCCCAAATGAGGGCGGATGAACGATAATCAGAGGCGGCGATCCATCGTGGCCTGGGACTGCT